GTGCTTTCAAGGTTCTATGGCCGCAGATGCTGATCGCCCAAGATGCTGCACATACAATCACATTTGCAGACGTGAGCTGCTTCGGCAGAGAGGCACGAAAGGTCAGGTCCATATGGTCGTGGCAAACGTCTCAACTCAGCACTTGAGTCCGCTCCAGATGGTTGCACACTCGAGATCTTCGGGTCACTTGCGTTGATTAGATGATGCAGTCCCGCACCGAATGCGTAGTGTACAGAGTTGCAATGAAAAGGGGGACGTCTATATGATGCGAATTGCGAGTGAGCTAGGCGTTGATGCACATCTTGCTGCGCTGTCTGATCGCCTTGCCGTACTTCAAGAAAACGAACGGAACCGGGATGGCAGCGATGCTGAAGAACGCCAGGATGCTCGAGGCCCACCCGGGGCCAAGGTTCTCGAACATCTGTCTGCCGAACAGCGGCACAAAGACGGCGAACAAGCAACGCGAGAATGCCATGGCTGCGAGTGCCGAGGCGGTGTAGATGTGGTAGCACTCGGCCGCGTACGTCGCGAGCGAGTTAAACGCCAGCATAAGCGAGATGCCAATTGGCAACCCTGCAAGAACAGGAACGATCCAGTGGATTGAAGCCCGTGCGGTCCAACCGAACCAAAAGAAGCCGATCGTAAACAGCGGCGCCGAAAGAGCCACCTGTGGAAGGCGCGACTCGGGCACAGGCTTACCACCCGCTGCAATGCGAGCTGCAAGAGACCGCCTGTTGAACCAGCCAAGAATCGGCGCCGACAGCGCAATACCCGCACCGATAGCAAGGAAGGTAAGTCCAACCTCACCTGCGTTGAACCCGTACGTGCCGGAGAAAACCACAGGGTACGCCTCGAAGAAGATAAAGATGATGGCGTAGCAGAACGACGTCCACAGCGTGGCGTACATGAGCGGCAGCTCGGTAAACAACATGTGGAAAGGTCGACCCACATAGACGCGCATGATCTCGGACCACGAAACGGGCGCGACGGTGCCATCCTCGGCGAGCGTCTCTCCCGGTGCCAACGGCTCGTTGCGTCCAGTCTCTGCGCGCATCTTTCGCGCCTTGCGCTTGAGAAGCACAGGTGCATACGTCTCCTTCTGTATGATCACGACGAGCGCCATGGAGACCACCGAGATGAGACACAGCAGCCAGTAGATCCACCGCCATCGTTCCGAGTCCAGATCCGTGCCGGCAATGAAACCACCCACGAGCGGACCCAGCGTCGGACCCATGAAGGCCGAGAGCGAGTAGGTGAACATGGGCCACAGCCGCACCTTGGGCGCCCAGATGTCCGAGATCGTTCCGCCGCTGTTGGCTTGCGGTGCTGCAGCGAAAAGGCCGACGAAGAAGCGGCACACGAGGAGCGTCTGCACATTCGGCGCCAGTGCACAGCCAATGTTGAAGAAGAAGTAGCCCGGCACAGAGATGTAGTTGACGAGCAGGCGCCCGTAGAGCTCCGAGAGGGGTGCCCACAATGGGGGACCCACGCAGAATCCGACCATGTAGATGGACAGCACGAGAGCAGAGACCTCGTGCGAGATGGAGAACTGCTGGATGTACTGCGCGGTGGCGCCCGTGCCTACGGACGAGGTGATGGTCGCGTTAAAGTAGAGACAGGATACGAGCGCGGTGGTGATCCACTTGCGGCGATCGCTCCAGCACATGGGGTCTTCATCTTCCGAAAGCATGACGGCAGGTATTGGCTCTTCGCTCTCCGCATCCGCACTGCCCTTCTCGAGGTCACGGGCCTGTCGAGGTGATTCCTCAGCCTCCTCCGATGCGCGGGAAGGGCGCTCGTGCTTGTGGTGCAGATGGAAGAGATGCCCTTTGTGTGGTGGCAGCTGATGCAGGTGAGCGAGGTGTTCATCCTCGGCGATGGCGGTCGAGTCGCCCTGCTCCACCTTCGAGTGAAGCTTGTGCAGCATGTCGTGGGCTGCCGAGATGTCGAACGAGTTGACTCGAGTGGGTGCCTCGGAATGATGCTGTGGAGTCGCAACGGCAGTCGACTGGCAGGCCGTCGAGAGCGCGCCCGAGTCGTATGGATCCCCGCGGCCTTGGGACGATGCCGCTATGGACCCGGAGGACGATGCTCTTGGCATGTCTGATGTTTGCGAAGACGACGTATGTGGCTCTGTATACGCCATGCTCTTCACTAGTGGCCAGACAGGTGAAGAGGATGTTGAGGACGGGAAGAGAAACTGAGTGGATGGTTGGGAGGGAACAGTTGGTCGTAGAAACAAGCTTCACGGCTTCATAGCAAGGGGGCTGAGCCAAGACATGTACAACAGTGGAGCAGGCAGGAAGGTCAAAGCTTCAACCAAGCCGACAAGGGCAGCGCCAGGCTTTCGGCTCTACGGGGCTGTGATCCGATGGATCGCCTGGGCGCAGGGTCTAGCTGTGTCAGTTACGAAGCGCAGATCACGAAGCTGACTCCATAGCTGCAGCCGGCGGTGGTGCCAACAGAGGCCGGAGCATGTGCGTCATGCAGGAGGACGCAGTCACATCACTCAAAATTTCCAGGGCGGCTATCCACGATGCGGCCGTTATGTGATAGCTGCTGGTGCGGCACTATCGGAAGTTCACAGCTGCGCATGCCTGAGCGCATGCTTCTGCGGCTGAGCTGCGTCGGCAAAATGTTGCGGATTTTTATTCGGGTTCGATTTGAAAACTTCGCTTGTCACACCTGCCACACTTCCGGCACGGCCGGGTAGCACTGAGCTTCCTCGAGGCTGCCGGCCGTACCGACGTGATCCGGCCCGGGGTGGTGCCTATCTAGCGCTTCATGGTGGGTCACATGTCGTACAAAGACATTGCCCTCCTTTCTGTCGTGGGACCAACAGGTGGGCGTTCGGGAGGACCAAATTCTTCTCTGCGCCCAACCCGACGGCACCGGCTGAGCCGAATGCCGGTCTTGCCGAAAATTGCTGCATGTGTGACCGGTACCTCTAACATGCTCAAATTGGCGCGACATCCTCATGCCCTCAACGCTCCAACTCACGCCTGAACCAGCAGACATTGCAACGTTTGACCATTTGTATTGGCCTTCCAAGCAGTTCTTGACATCTGCGGCCATAGAACCTTGAAAG